TGGAGCCCTATTGTAGAGGTGAAACCGAAGCTTCCTGGGGCCATATTGTAGAGGTGAAACCGAAGCTTCCTGGAGCCCTATTGTAGAGGTGAAACCGAAGCTTGCTGGAACCCTATTGTAGAGGTGAAACCGAAGCCTCCCTGGAGCCCTATTGTAGAGGTGAAACCGAAGCAACATGGAGCTTGCTAGCCAAAAAAAGGTGAAACTTGGAGCTTTCCGTGCCCAATGTAGAGGTGAAACTCGGAGTTTTGCATGTAGCTACGACTCCGTTTTAGCTCGCCGCTTTCGATTGAAGCCGCAGTGTTTACGAGTTCGAGCTTGAAGCTTGGCCCACCGATAAGAAACAATGTCCGGCGCTTTCTTTATGCATGCCTGTCCTGTTGGACGAACACATCACGAGGATGCTTTACTGTTGACTCTTGCTTCCTGTGTGGAACCCTGGGTTCTCGGGCTGGGGGCTGAAACCTGCTACTCACATCTCGCTGGTAGCTGAAATTATGGAGCTGGGTTGGGGCCTGGTACGTACCTGAACCCGTGGGTTACTGTGATGAAGCTTGCCGCGATGGGGAGTAAATCTCGTACCGATAGATCGGCAAAAGTGGGACTGTTAAGGTCGGTAGTTAGCCCACCGAAACAACGAATTCTCAAACCTTTCAGGGCAAAGGCCCACTAAGAGCAAATCTGTTCGGCTACATTTGTCAGAAAGCGACGCCGGATGCTGCACGCTCTTTTGTCTCGCATCCACTGGCGCGCTGCGAAGCTGAGACTTGGACTACTGTACAGGTGAAACGGAAGGCTTGGAGTCTGAGGTCTCTAACCCACAACACGGAAAGCCCGGAACCTGAAGTTTCTGGCCCGACGCAGAAAGTGTGGAACCTGGAGCCCCTGGTCCATTGCAGTGTTGAAGCGGAAGGTCTCCTGGGTCTACTCGCTGTGTAAGTGAGACGACTGTGTCTTGGAGCCTGAGGCCTGGCCCACCGCATAGGTGAAACGGTGGGCCTGGATCTGGCTCGCTGCAAGCGTGCAACGGGCTCCGCTACCTGGATCTCTGAGGCTGGCTCATTGTACATGTGGAACAGCAGCGCCTCGGGGCCTGGAGCCTGGCACGTGTGACACCACAGGGGTGAAACGGTGGGGCTTGGTTGGCGTACTGCGAAGATGGCAAGATGGGTCTTGGCACGTAGACTTTGGAGGTTGGCACGCTGCTTGGGTGAAACGGAGGGGTCTTGATCTCTGGAACTTGGCGCCTGGCCTACTGTGTAGGTGAAACGGCGGGTCCCGAAGCTTGTTGCAAACGTGAAACTGTGCGGCCAGGTACTTGGATCGAAGTTTGGCTTCCTGCATAGGTGAAACAATGGCTCCGTAAGCTGGCTTACTGGGCCTGGTGATTCTAGCAGCTGGCTTAGTGAATAATGAAACGGCGGGCGTTTGGAGAGCTAGACCTACTGTACAGGTGAAGCGGGGAGCCCCGTGATGTGGTGAAGCGCGGTCCCCCGTGATCCGGTGACGCCTAGGATAAAACTTGGAGCCTTTGAAGATTAACCGTGAATCTTCTAATCTTTCAGTACGGAGGCTCACTGTACAGCGAATCTGGTTGGGTACGCTCAGCAGAAAACGGCACCGGATGCCGCACATTCTGTTGTCTCCCATCCACTGGCACATTGCTGAGCTAAGACTTGAACCAGTGCGTAGGTGAAACGGTGGGCCTCGGACCTGGAGCCTGTAGCCTAGCCCACTACGAGAAGTCACTCGGACTCTGGAACCTGGAGCCTCCGGCTTTGCAACGGAAGGTCTGGAGCTTGAGGCCTCTAACTCATGGAACCGAAGGCCTGGACCCTGGAGTCTCTGTCTCGCTGCAGAGGTGTTATGGAAGGTCTGGAGCCTGGAGCCTCTGGCCCACTGCAGAAGTGAAACGGAAGGCTCTTTCGGTTTGGCAAAACAACGAATCCCCAAACCTTTCAGAATAGGGGCCCGCTAAGAGCAAATCTGTTCCGGCACGCTTGTCGGAAAGCCACAGCGGATGCCGCACGCTCTTTTGTCTCGCATCCTCTGGCACGCTGCCGAGCTGAAACTTGAACTACTGTTTTGGTGAAACGGCAGGCCTTGGACCTGGAACCTGTAGCTTGGCCCACCACAAGAATCCACTCGGACTGAATCGGTAAGCCTGGAATCTGGAGCCTCTGGCTTGTCGTAAAGGTGCAACGGGACAACAGCTTTCTCGCGACTGCGCATGCCGAATAATTAATGCTCAGGTCACTTTGCGTTTCAGCTCTTCTCAGGTTCCGGCGCAGCCTGCCGGCAGTTCACAGTTCACAGGCACCCGTCAAGCAGGATCGCGACATCGAGTCGAGCCAGCCCACGGTTCTTTTACATTATCTCGCGGGTCCGATCAATGCATTACGCAGTCTAGGGACACATGGTGGATGCGGAAACGCTCTCGCTTGCCGTGAGGTCCCGTCCAGTCCACGAGATCATCTATGAAGAATTGGACCAGGTGCCGGCGGCATAACCGTCTTCGCGGAGCCGCGCACTTCTCCTGTTCTGTGCAGTAGAACTCGAAGACTGGGCCGGTGCAACCAGTGCCGGCGGCCAAGAGGGCTCCATGCTCGCTGTTGCCGTCCGCGTAGTGAAAGTAAACATCCATCAAACACTCACTCTTCGGCAGGACGGTCGAATGTGTGCAGAGCACTCGGAGAGTCTGCTGGTGGTCGGCTAGCACGCAGCTAAAGTGCACTTCTGTGCAGCCGTTCAGCAGCAGTTCTCGCGCCTCGAGGAAGGCCCGGCGCAGGACGTTGCAGTCGTCTAGCTTTGGTCGAGGCGCAAGGCATTCCACGTCGTCCCTCACCGAGTACCGACTAGCCATGAGCCCAGACTGTCAGAGCACAGTGGTGCGCACCTGCAGGCGCTCGTTTTTGAGCTTGGGCCTAGAATGGCATTCGAGCCGATTCAGGGCTGAGGTACGTTGCGATGCCCTTTCAGCAGTCGGGCTTGCATGCATTTGAAAGCTACCCTGCGCAGTGATCTTACCGTTGGCATAGCGAGCCTCCTCGTGCTCCACGACTACTGTGAAGGTTCGTCCCGCCACCGCGTGTGAGATATAGCGGAAACTCCGAAACATGGGACCCGGAGTACACCAGAAGTGTAACGGCAGGTGGGGCATCCGACACTATGGAGCTGAACTGATGCACAGATTCTAGATGTAACGCATTGCCTCGAGACATAGAATGCTTATGACTGCAATCCTTAGCTTACTGTACAGGCAAACAGAGAGCCCGCAACCTGGAATCTCTGGCTACACTGCGGGCGACGATTGCAGGCTATCTGTCTTTACGCTTCTTGCCTCGCGTCTACCGGCACACTGTTGAGCTACTACTTGAACTACTGTACAGGCAAATTAGTAGGGCATCGCACTTGGTGTCTGGCGTATTCATAGACGGGCTTCTACAGAGGTGAGGCGGAAAACTTGCAAACTGCAGTCTTTCGCTCACTGTAGAGGCGAAAAAGGGCCTGCAACGGATAGTTCTGGCTCAACTTGCGGCGGCTTACTGTATAGGTGAAACGGATTGCTTGGAATCCGGTAATGCAGTCGATTTTGTTCGGAGCATCAGTCGCGTCGCTGCTTATTCATCTGGACTGAGCCGCTTTGGGCATGCAGCAGCTGCAAACCTTCAGCGTCATTTCCTGTGCACATTCGACCGTCTGTGATTGGGATAGTTTTTCATCTTTACGGAGGCCAGTGTGCTTGTTTGGCATATGTGCGCAAACGGGCCTTCTCGCCGGCCAGGTAGCGCTCCGCCAGGTTCTTCAAACAGCATCGCTGCCTTGCATAAACAGAACACCACGAGAGAATACATCAACTTCGACCTGGGGTCCTGACTGTTGTGGCAAAAGGGTATCCCAGAACGTCTGGTAAAAGTCAAAGTAAATCACTAGCTCTTGACCTCCATATCCCTGATACGCGATGTGCACCGGGACACGGCAGACCTTTCGCAATCCATGCGAACACAATTAGCGAGAGTAGACATGCAGGATGCAAAACACAAGAATACGGACGCACCAGCCTCGTCGTCCAGCACATCGCTTCTCACGAAAGATATCAGCACACCGCCCTCCTTTGCCACCTGTTCAGCAGCGTAAGCATATGACGGGTCTTTACGGATAACACCGAGTGATACATTCCCCTACTCATCCCTGCTGGCCTCGGACATGGCTCAAAGTGAAAGGGGGATCGCGTTCGCAACGGGTTTACCAGAAAGCCAGACTGCTGCCACGGAGGCCGAAGGTGTCTTAACTTGCCAGCAGAGCTCGCTCGATGCTATAGAATCAAACATGAGGCCTGCCACCGACCGCCTCTGGCTCAATTTACGGCGGCTCACTGTATAAGTGAAGCGGACTGCTTGGAACTTGGAGCTTATTGTAGAGGGGAAACGGATCCTAGAGTACCTGGCCTTTTCGAAACATGCCATTGAATGTGTGATTACTGGAGCCTCTGACCCTCTGCAGCAGTGTAACAGGACGCGCTGCTGTAGAGGTGAAGCAGAACACATCTTCGGTATATAGAAATAACGAATCAATAGACGGGCACCTACAGGAGTGAAGCGGAAAACCTGGAACCTGGAGTCTCTCGCTCGCCGTAGAGCTGAAACAAGAGGCCTACACCCGATAGCCTCTGGCTCGATTTACGGCGGCTCCCTGTATAGGTGAAACGGACTGCTTGGAACCTGGAGCTTACTGTCAGAATGAATAGAGCCTGGGGTCTGGAGTGCCTGGTCCACTGTAGAGTTCATGCGGAATGTGTGGAACCTGAAGCCTCTGTCCCGCTGTAGAACTGAAACGGAACGCACCGTTGCAAGGTGAAACGAAAAATGCTTTTGGTCTGGCAAAAAGCAATGAATCGCCGGGAGCCTGGAGACTGGAGTCTCTCGCTCGCCGTGGAGGTGAGACATGAAGCCTACAACCGATAGTCTTTGTTTCGCTTCGCATCGGTTCACTGTATAGGTGGAACGGATTGCCTGGATCCTGGGGAACGGAGCCTAGATTGCTTAATTTGCCTGCTGTATAGTTGATTCGGAATGTGTGGAACCTGGAGCCTCTGGCCCACTCTAAACCTGCGAGAGCATGCACCTCTGTGAAGGTGAAACAGGAAGACTGCAGTCGATAGCCTCCGGCTTCGTACGGCAGCTCACTGTATAGGTGAAACGGACTGTTTGGCAATCCCAAGGCAGAAGCGAGATTTGGAAGGAGCTATCAGCATAGAGATATGAAACTTAGTGGTGAGTCATGTCTGGGCCCACTGTATAGGTGAAACTTTGGGTCAAGGTGCAGGGTTGTACCTCGCTGCAGAGTCGAAACGATGGACCCTATTGCTGCACGACACCAACGAGCCTTCGAAGCTTCTATTCCACGGGCCTATTGTGAGGGAAATCTGGTTGTCTATGCTCA